CAACTCAGTATTGATTATAACGAAACATTATTTATGAGTAACAAGTGAACTCTTATTAACTAAGTGACACAGCTTCATTTGAATTTTTCTATGACTTTCTATTGCTTTATAGCTAAAAAAACAAACATCGGAGTCGATGCGTGTGTATGTGTAGCTAGACTAACTAGAGGGCAAATCCGACCTTTTTGTTAGCAATAGAAAATGCATCATAGAAATATGGAATACAATTTACACAAAGATTCTTCATATCACAATGTGCACATCTGCCACGAAGTAAAATCTGTTCTGAACAAGGGCACACAGCATTGATCAAAATTAATGCAATTATGTAAGATATAGCATTTGTAACAGTAACAGTGCAAAAATAACAGTAAATAAATATAGTATTAATAGTAGTGCAGGAGACAGTTTGTCCGGAGTGATTTTTTTTTTAGGGGGGCTCAGCTTCCTGACAGCTTGGTGGATGAAGCTTTCTGTGAATCTGAGTGGGATAGAGCCTGAATAGACAGTCAGTCTCTGAAAACACACACATGCACAAAGAATGTCTGTCTGTCTGTCTGTCTGTCTGTCTCTTTCATGCACCCACTTGTCCTGCTTTAATCCAGTTTCTGACGAATGGAAATGGGTCGAATTTGTCCAAAGGAGGTCAGTTGAAGTCCACAAACAGGAGTGAAGACCTGCTGTCTTCACGCAATCTGTTCCGCGTTGCCCGTGTTATTAACTGCGTAAAAGCACATGGCTAATTTGCATACACGAAAAGGATTGGCTGGCTCCACTTCGCAAAAAACAGAGCATATATTTGAATACTGGACATGTTGAGCTTAAAAACATTTTAGTGACCATTAGCGACAAAAAAATTATTTTTGTCCTGCCCTCACTCTTAGCTTAGCAGGTAGATAACCATAATTTCCAATAACCACACCGTAAGCCTTTTCTTTGGATTTATTGGCTGGTATGGATGGATGAATGAATGGTAAAACTGCAACAAAAAAATATTGTGCATAAGTCTTTGTGTAAACAGGCACAATTCCAAATAAACAGGCACAATTCTCCTAAATAATAAACTCAACATATTCCCTCAATATGTACAGAAACACATAATGACACAAACAACATATCAACATTAGCCGCTAGCTCGCGGCATCGCTAACGGCTAGTTAGCGCGTATGCTAACTAGATTTATAGATGTGTTTTAACTGTTGCAATTTAATCTGAATATAAAAATCTAATGTATCTTTTTTAAAAGTGAAAGATTTTAATCCAGGCTGCTGGAGGCCACCCAATGCACTGCAGCTGCCCAGGACACAGTATACAGGGTATTCCAATGATGATGTCATCAGAACAAAGAAAATATGAAACACCCCTATGACATCACAGGGCTCCGCCCACTTATGTCATCGCTGAGGCTTCCATTCGGCACACAGTAACACTAGTTCCATTTACTCAGTGGTAGCCAGAGGAGTAGCTTGTTTCCAGAGGTAGGTAGTGTTTTCCAAGTTAATCTTAACATGGATTCCACATTTTCTTACACACTGACAAGCATATTTGAGTGCCTTTCACGGGCAGTGAAGCATGCCCAACCAACAAACATTTTAGAGTTTTTAAGCCAGTATTTCTCGACGCTGACTAAGCTGCAGGAAAACAAGGGAAGGGTTGACTATGCAGAACTGGTGTTCCAGTTCCAGGAGCAATGGGAGATTGATTTCCTAACAGCTCGCAGCAACAAAATGCACCCTTCACCCAACCACCCTTTATCCTCAACAACCATTTCATCAAAGCCTGATGGGTCCGTCTTTAGAACACAGGATGTTTCTTCTGGAAGTACTGCGGATCCTGAGGATCCTGCATATCCAATGCAACCAAGAGAACCAACAGAAGTCAAACCAAAACCTGTAAAACAAAAAGAGGACAAAGGAAACAGCTCTCAACAACAAAGCAGGAAACCAAACACCAAATTCGCACCATGCACCCAAAGGTTTCCAACGTCTACAATGCAACCAAGAGCACCGACAGATGTCAAACCAAAACCTGTAAAACAAAAAGAGGAAAAAGGAAACGGCTCTACACCACAAAACAGGAAACCAAACACCAAATTCGCACCATGCAGCCAAACGTTTCCAAAGTCTCAGATCCAACAAAGACAACCGACAGAAGTCGAACCAAAACCTGTTGAACATAAAGAGGACAAAAGAAACAGCTCTACACCACAAAGCAGGAAACCAGACACCAAATTCTCACCATACACCCAAAAGTTTCCAAAGTCTACAATGCAACCAAGAGCACCGACAGCAGTCGAACCAAAACCTGTTAAACAAAAAGAGGAAAAAGGAAACAGCTCTACACAAGAAAACAGGAAACCAAAGATCAAATTCAGACCATGGTATTAAACCGGTTGAACAAAAAGAGGACAAAGGAAACAGCTCTACACCACAAGCATGAAACCAAACACCAAATTCGCACCATACACCCAAAAGCTTCCTAAGACTCCGATCCAACAAATACGACCGACAGAAGTCGAACCAAAACCTCCTGAACAAAAAGAGGACAAAGAAACAAAGCAAGCAAAGACTCCAAACATACTTAAGGGGAGTCAGAGAGAGAGGGTAAAACCAATCATGAGCGATATCGTTGTTCCAACACCTGCCGCCCCGCTCCAGTTCAAAGCCAGACTCCTCCACCTGCCCCTCTTCCCGTCTCCGCCCCGGCTCCAAACACACGCTTCGCGGCCATTTTCTATCACACATGGACAGAAAGATAGAGTGTACCATCAATCGATTAAGATTAGATGTAAAGATAAACACACATCCATCAAGCAATAGAAATGATCATAGTTTGGTTTATCACATCACAACTAGCAGAGAAAACACTAAACCCTCTGCAAAAATAAAACTTTATTATTCTTTTCATTTTTCAGTATTCTTTTTATTTTCTTTGGAAACCTTTTATTAGTTAAATCCAATTGAAAATAAGCCGCACAGCATTTGTGTTGGTTTACTTTCTTTTCACACTGTCTTCATGGTTCTCCCCGGGCGCTCCGGCTTTTTCCAAAAGCAAATCAACATTATCTCGTGTAAACCTGCCTCTCAAATTTCCTTTGGCTCTTCCTGTTTAACTTCGATTTCTTTTTATTTGACTGAAACCTAAGAAAGTAAAGAATACTTTAAAAATTTTATTTCAGGTGACTTCCGCTTCAACAACTTGCTTAGTCACCTGGCCATTTTTTTCTAACCCAGGGTACAGACCAGGATGCAGAGTTGAAGTTTAACACACGTCTCTGCAGCTTCTCTACTGTTACCCACTCATTACTCCTTCCAGACCAGACTCTCAAACTCAATATACCCAGGCTGGGCCGGATTGGTTTTTCCACAAGAACAGCTCCTAAAATCATTCCAATGTTATCAAATGTCATTAAATGAACTTAAACAAATTCTCTCCACACACAATAATTTATTATCAGAATAATTCAACTATTAAAAATAAATGATAAAACAAACTCCAGGGCTAAGCTAACAAAAAGCAAGGTTATAAGATATCTGATAAACTGATCAACTCAGTATTGATGATAACAAAACATTATTTATGAGTAACAAGTGAACTCTTACTAACTAAGTGACACAGCTTCATTTGAATTTTTCTATGACTTTCTATTGCTTTATAGCTAAAAAAACAAACATCGGATTCGATAAGTGTGTATGTGTAGCTAGACTAACTAGAGGGCAAATCCAACCTTTTTGTTAGCAATAGAAAATGCATCATAGAAATATGGAATACAATTTACACAAAGATTCTTCATATCACAATGTGCACATCTGTCAGGAAGTAAAAGCTGTGCTGAACCATTCAGAACAAGGGCACACTGCATTGATAAAAATTTGTTCTTTAAAATTGAACTGTATCTAAAACCATAATTATATTTTTAGTTCAAATCAGATTTAATGTGTATCCCTGATGGGTATGCAGTGTGATAAACTGCTGACCAGCTTTATTTGTATTTTAATGTACCTGTTGTTTTTTGTTTTCATTTTTTATTATTATTTGGTTGTAAATGTTTTTGTACTTTTTTGATAAAATAAAATGCTGCATTGCATATTGGAAGCCATTGCTTTGATCACAGCCTAACACTTTTTTCCTTTTTTTTGTAGAGCATTTTTAAGTCAGTAAATTAACCAACCATACTGACTGAAAATTGTTACCTTTGCTTTTATGGATAAATTCTAAAGGTTATTTTTACATTAGACATTGGAGTGAAGGAAAAATGGAATGATGACTAAGACTAGCCTATCAGGACCAGATAAATTGTGCATATAAGCTTTTAGTATTAAAATGTTTGAAATTGTCAGTTAGGATTAGAAAGAAAGAAAAAGTGTACGGTGCAGAACAAGATCACCCTATGGTATGGTAGGGTTATAATCGCTGCTCTTAGTCTGTCCAGTCCTATCAAATGCGGCAGCCTGCTATAAATCCAACTTGGAAAATACAAGGCAAAAATGAACACAATATGAAATTAATTATTTTTAAAGGAAAAATGGGTAGCATCAACTTATTAGCCTACATCCAACACATTCTATTCAACTAATTAAATTAAATCTATCACTAAATAAATCTATTTTAACACTCTTCCCATACACAATAGGCCCTCAATCTTGACTTTCAGACTTTTGGTTTTCTGTCAACATTGTTATCGTTTCCTGTTCAGCAGTGGAGGAAACAAAACACTTTTCCTTGACAATTAACTGGGACGTCACGCAGAAAGATTTTGGACCCTTAAAAACAATATACGCAACTTTGTTCACAAACAGGCCTTTCAAATTAATAGTAACTATAACTATCTTAATCAAATAGATAAATAAATAACCACAGCAGGGTTAAGCGAGACGAAAAATAGATGGATGGAATAAATAACTATCATAGACATTATCATTGCTTTCCTACACAAAATGACTTCATAACTCAGGGCTAAAAGTAACATTTCCAGCTTTATAATAGAAAGAGCTAGGATGTCACAGACTTGTGCTGGAATAATCTCCTTGAAATATTCTACCAGAAATTATCATCCTGAAAGCATGTCTGAACCACCTGTAAAAGAAAGCATAAACCAGTGGATTTAACATAGAATTTGACCATCCAATCCATTTAAATGCTTCAATCACCACAACTGGTATTGTAAATCTTCTTAAACTGTATAAACCCATGGATAAAAAGTAAGGAGACCAACACATGAGGAAGACTCCCAGCACTATAGCCAGAGTTATGTTAGTCTTTTTCTCCATCTTACTGAGAGCTGCTTCTGATTTTAAAGTGCTCTTTATGCGCTTTGCCTGCTGCTTTGCCACCATTAAAATCTTAAAATAAATTGCTAATATTAAAGTAGTGGGAATATAAAATGCAAAAATTGGTCCAGGACTAGACTCTTTTGTAGACATAAATATTTTGCACCTCCAGCTGTGATTCTGTTCATCTTTCTCACGAACTGTGATACTAATTGAAAGTAGAAATGAAATAGTCCAGGTTAATATAATCATAATCAGAGTAACATATACATTAATTCTACTTGCATATCTTAAAGGATGACAAACTGCATAATATCTGTCTATTGAAATACAGCACAAGTTTAAAATGGACGAAGTGCACAGTAATATGTCAAACAGACCTCGCATTTTACAGAGTAAATAACCTGTATACCAGCATGAGCTCATAGACAATATTGTGCTGAAAGGCAAAACTAAAGCTCCAACAAGCAGGTCAGTCACAGCCAGAGAGAGGATGAGGTAGTTTGTTGGTGTGTGCAGCTGTTTGAAGTAAATGACAGAGATGATTACAAGAAGATTCCCACATATTATCAGAAGTGACAGAGAAACAACCACTACATCTAGTACATAAGAGGTCAAAGTTAGTCCGTGCAGTTGTGCTGAATCATTACAGAGTTGCTGGTCTGCCAACATATTATCAACAACAATAAAAAACAATATGTTTAATAAATGTTTTCTAGATTTCTTGAGTTAGAGAAGATTTGTGTGTTTAAGTCTAGGCTCTGCAAAATGGGGAAGTGCATCTTTTATCTGTCTGTAACTAAGCAGCATATTAATGTGGGATTTATTATTCTGTCTCAATGTGTTCATTGGCTCAAAAGGTCTGTGTTTGGTATCCATAGTGAGATGTTCCCTGATGTCACCTATATGACCAATTTACATTTTAGTGCTAATCAATGTGCGAAATACCTGTCAATATTTGGGGGTTTCCCCATCCCCCGATTGTTGCGCAATACCGATCTAAATTTTCTCAATATGCAGTAGGCCTATAACATTTCAAAGTCAAAGTCAGCTTTAATGTCAATTCTTAAGATTCACCAGACATACAAGGACTCGAGAGGACGTTCGTTTCTCATTCACCAACAGTGAAACAGATAAAGTGCACAGGCACAACAGATAAGATCAGTTCCTAATACTAAAATTTAAACATTCAATTTCATATTAAAATATAAAATGTACAATAATATAAAATATGCAATACTTATGCTAGTGCAAAAAGGCAGATGGTAATGGCAGCAGAAAAATATTATTATTATTACCAATTATGTAAGATATGGCATTTGCAACAGTAACAGTGCAAAAGAACAGTAAATAAATATAGTATTAATAGTAGTGCAGGAGACAATTTGTCCGGAGTGATTTTTTTTTGAGGGGGGCTCAGCTTCCTGACAGCTTGGTGGATGAAGCTTTCTGTGAATCTGAGTGGGATAGAGCCTGAATAGACAGTCAGTCTATGAAAACACACAGATGCACAAAGAATGTCTGTCTGTCTCTCTTTCATGCACGCACATGTCCTGCTTTAATCCAGTTTCTGACGAATGGAAATGGGTCGAATTTGTCCAAAGGAGGTCCGTTGAAGTCCACAAACAGGAGTGAAGACCTGCTGTCTTCACGCAATCTGTTCCGCGTTGCCCGTGTTATTAACTGCGTAAAAGCATATGGCTAATTTGCATATGCGAAAAGGATTGGCTGGCTCCACTTTGCAAAAAACAGCATATTTGTGAATAAAGGTTTTGAATTTTAATACTGGACATGTTGAGCTTAAAAACATTTTAGTGACCATTAGCGACAAAAAAATTATTTTTGTCCTGCCCTCACTCTTAGCTTAGCAGGTAGATAACCATAATTTCCAATAACCACACCGTAAGCCTTTTCTTTGGATTTATTGGCTGGTATGGATGGATGAATGAATGGTAAAACGTCAACAAAAAATATTGTGCATAAGTCTTTGTGTAAACAGGCACAATTCCAAATAAACAGGCACAATTCTCCTAAATAATAAACTCAACATATTCCCTCAATATGTATAGAAACACATAATGACACAAACAACATGTTAACATTAGCCGCTAGCTCGCGGCATCGCTAACGGCTAGTTAGCGCGTATGCTAACTAGATTTATAGATGTGTTTTAACTGTTGCAATTTAATCTGAATATAAAAATCTAATGTATCTTTTTTAAAAGTGAAAGATTTTAATCCAGGCTGCTGGAGGCCACCCAATGCACTGCAGCTGCCCAGGGCACAGTATACAGGGTATTCCAATGATGATGTCATCAGAACAAAGAAAATATTAAACACCCCTATGACATCACAGGGCTCCGCCCACTTATGTCATCGCTGAGGCTTCCATTCCGCACACAGTAACACTAGTTCCATTTACTCAGTGGTAGCCAGAGGAGTAGCTTGTGTCCAGAGGTAAGTAGTGTTTTCCAAGTTAATCTTAACATGGATTCCACATTTTCTTACACACTGACAAGCATATTTGAGTGCCTTTCACGGGCAGTGAAGCATGCCCAACCAACAAACATTTTAGAGTTTTTAAGCCAGTATTTCTCGACGCTGACTAAGCTGCAGGAAAACAAGGGAAGGGTTGACTATGCAGAACTGGTGTTCCAGTTCCAGGAGCAATGGGAGATTGATTTCCTAACAGCCCGCAGCAACAAAATGCACCCTTCACCCAGCCACCCTTTATCCTCAACAACCATTTCATCAAAGCCTGATGGGTCCGTCTTTAGAACACAGGATGTTTCTTCTGGAAGTACTGCGGATCCTGAGGATCCTGCATCTCCAATGCAACCAAGAGAACCAACAGATGTCAAACCAAAACCTGTAAAACAAAAAGAGGACAAAGGAAACAGCTCTCAACAACAAAGCAGGAAACCAAACACCAAATTCGCACCATGCACCCAAAGGTTTCCAACGTCTACAATGCAACCAAGAGCACCGACAGATGTCAAACCAAAACCTGTAAAACAAAAAGAGGAAAAAGGAAACAGCTCTACACCACAAAACAGGAAACCAAACACCAAATTCGCACCATGCAGCCAAACGTTTCCAAAGTCTCAGATCCAACAAAGACGACCGACAGAAGTCGAACCAAAACCTGTTGAACATAAAGAGGACAAAGGAAACAGCTCTACACCACAAAGCAGGAAACCAAACACCAAATTCTCACCATACACCCAAAAGTTTCCAAAGTCTACAATGCAACCAAGAGCACCGACAGAAGTCGAACCAAAACCTGTTAAACAAAAAGAGGAAAAAGGAAACAGCTCTACACAAGAAAACAGGAAACCAAAGATCAAATTCAGACCATGGTATTAAACCGGTTGAACAAAAAGAGGACAAAGGAAACAGCTCTACACCACAAGCATGAAACCAAACACCAAATTCGCACCATACACCCAAAAGCTTCCTAAGACTCGGATCCAACAAATGCGACTGACAGAAGTCGAACCAAAACCTCTTGAACAAAAAGAGGACAAAGAAACAAAGCAAGCAAAGACTCCAAACATACTTAAGGGGAGTCAGAGAGAGAGGGTAAAACCAATCATGAGCGATATCGTTGTTCCAACACCTGCCGCCCCACTCCAGTTCAAAGCCAGACTCCTCCACCTGCCCCTCTTCCCGTCTCCGCCCCGGCTCCAAACACACGCTTCGCGGCCATTTTCTATCACACATGGACAGAAAGATAGAGTGTACCATCAATCGATTAAGATTAGATGTAAAGATAAACACACATCCATCAAATAATAGAAATGATCATAGTTTGGTTTATCACATCACAACTAGCAGAGAAAACACTAAACCCTCTGCAAAAATAAAACTTTATTATTCTTTAAATTTTTTCCTTTTTCAGTATTCTTTTTATTTTCTTTGGAAACCTTTTATTAGTTAAATCCAATTGAAAATAAGCCGCACAGCATTTGTGTTGGTTTACTTTCTTTTCACACTGTCTTCATGGTTCTCCCCGGGTGCTCCGGCTTTCTCCAAAAGCAAATCAACATTATCTTGTGTAAACCTGCCTCTCAAATTTCCTTTGGCTCTGCCTGTTAAACTTCGATTTCTTTTTATTTGACTGAAACCTAAGAAAGTAAAGAATACTTTAAAAATTTTATTTCAGGTGACTTCCGCTTAAAAAACGTGCTTAGTCACCTGGCCATTTTTTTCTAACCCAGGGTACAGACCAGGATGCAGAGTTGAAGTTTAACACACGTCTCTGCAGCTTCTCTACTGTTACCCACTCATTACTCCTTCCAGACCAGACTCTCAAACTCAATTTACCAAAGCTGGGCCGGATTGGTTTTTCCACAAGAAAAGCTCCTAAAATCATTCCAATGTTATCAAATGTCATTATTTTTATTTCGAAATAGTCTTGTAGACGAAAAGATCATTCTCTTTTTGTTAATTTTGTGGCCAAATTGAAGATATGTCCTCCAAGTATTAAATAAGCCTTTTGATTTTTGTAAATTTTTCGTTTAAGGATACTTTTAGTTTCTTTTCATTGATTTTGTGAATGGCCAATAAAACTCTGGAATTGGTTCAATTCTTTGGAGTTGCGCAACAAAACGAGAAACCTCCTTTTCTGCCTCCTGATTGTGATCTGCATGTGTGTCAAACATTTCAAAGCTATGACATATGGAATATAGCTATTTTCATTATAAATGTTTACTTTGGATAACAATTTAACCCTGCTTAAATGCTAATTTTAGTTTTTATTTATGACATTATTTGGGTCAGGTTTTTTTTTTTTCCCCTCCACATTTTAACCCACGATGATAAGCTACTGGATCATCCGCAGCTTCACAGCAGGACTTTCGTGAACCAAAATACTTCAATTATGAATTAAAAACAATAAGATTATTGATTGATGAAACGTTAATCATTCTGCAAAGAAAAAAAGCGGACTTGAAGAAATGAACAAAAATCTTGGGTGTTATCAGGGTTAATTTTTTGTCTTCTTGTTGTGATTATTGTTTATACTTATAGGAAAATTTAAATATTGAGTACCTTCCTAAATATTTGAAAAAATACACATTTGAATACAATAATTTAAACGTTCTACCTGTCGGTGTTTTATTCACACATACACACACACACACACACATGTTGTGTCACAATATCCTTGTGGGGACCTTCCATTGACTTCCATTCATTTCCCACTAATTTATATGGCCTAACCATGACCCTTGCCCTAACCCTTACCATTACTGACACATACCTATCCCTAAACCTAACCTAAACTCAATTCACACCTTAGTCCTAAACCTAACCCCCACCCCAAGAAGAGAAAGTTTCCTTATGGGGACCAGTTGTTGGTCCCAACAAGTACCTGAGTCCCCAAAATGTAGCATATTCCTAGGAAATTGTCCCCACCAGGTATTAAAGACATGGCCACGGGCTCCTCAGATGAAGCTTTCTGATTGCCTATTACCTTATCTGGCTGTAGTCAGGCGCCCAGCCTGAATTACGTTACACTGAGCAACAACTTCCGAGTCTAGAGTGGATGGTGAAGCGGGAGCAGGCCGGAAAATGAGCATGTGCCGCATACTAATAATGACTAATAGATGTCCCGACCCCGATAGCAATATACTCCACCGTGATTGATAAGTTTGTTCAGCTCCGCACACAACACTGAAAAGTGCCAATCATATCAAGCTCATG